GGGGCACACTTTTTTCTGCCCCTTCTTATACTGAAAACCAGATCTTTTCACTCTGGAAGATCAAAGAGCCGTGCACAGAGCTGAGCACACACTAACTCCTATGAATGCCTGTGAAACCACACTCTCACCACTAACATCATCCAGCGAACCCAGTCGTCTTGGTCACAGCAGTATGCATGAGGCATTGACTTGGCTGTCTGATGAAATTACTTGAGCGCTCGGGGGAGATTATAGGCACATAAGAAGGTGGGAGAACGTAACTTTTACGATAGTCCGGCCACTCTGACGCCGTGGGTCGGCACCGAATTGGCCCGTCAATTTATGAGAAGACAGCTTTCCAGATGAACATGATTATTACATGAATCATTTTAATTGTCTCAGGGACCGACCAACGCGGACAGTAACTCCACGCAATGGTCATAATGACTAAATGCAGAGGGATCTGGACAGCTCATTCTAACGATCAGTCAAGACGACCCTTTCTGTAGCACTTCCCGTTGAAGAGGAAAAGGAACAGCGAGGAGCAGCGGCGTCCCATCCTGTGCCCTTGGTGCAGCCTCCTTTACTCACGGTACGTGCATGCGTGTCTCCTGAGGGTCGCGGGACGCCATGCGCCACAGGAACACCGTTTGACAGGCAAGCCAGTCTCAGTCACAAACACACAAACCCACCTGCAATGCTAAGCTGCCCTGACAGTACCAGAGCCTGAGGATAGCATGTCGGGAAAGCATGTAACGAAAGTGTGCTGTTTACATCTTCCAGGTTTCTCTTTTATATTTCTTGTCATGGCTGAACATTTAAATAGCACAATTACTCAATCAGACTAGTGCATGATCTCCGTTTTATTAAGCAGATGGAACCCCGACAATCAGTGTTCATCTTCAGTAGGTTCAGTGGTGACTGGTAATTATATTACAAATACATTTCACAAATAGTCAATATTTGTGTATTTGTGTTTTTAAAATATGGAATATAGCCAGTAATAATTGCAAAATAAGATATCTGCGCAATATGTATGCTTTTCCTGCACGTCCTCTGCGCCTGTCAGCTTGTCTCAGCTGGGCCAAAAGAGGCGGCTCTAAGGAGCAGTTTAGCCAATTACTGATTAACGATAAAATGAGTGACACATCATTTCAGCATCCTAAAATAGATTCCGCCTTGGGCCCTCGTAGGGCTGGCTCCAGGTTGCGCTCTCGTCAACGCGTGTCTTGCGAGATGCCGTTTTAACGACATGCCAATGGGCAGCACAATGGGCGCCAATGCAGGATTCCTGCATGAGATCTGACCCGAACTCGGTAAAATCTTTCCTCCAGCACCAACACCCGTTTGAGAGAAGAACTTGGGCGGAGAAACCAGAGGTAAACAGCTGGACTTAATGTGATTTTCACACTGTGTGTTATTGTTGAATTACCGGTCTGCTGATTGACTGAACACTTTCTTCTTGGGGAATTTGTTAGAAGAGTAAAATGGTTGGACTCAAAGACATGAATAGATCCAAGAAGACCGTATTGTCAGCTGTAATCTCAAACTTACACTATAAATTAGCTGTCAAGGAGGAAATTGCACTTTTTCTATGTCCGACATTTGGTGTCAGTGACATGTGAAGGCAGCAGTGGAGCCAGGGTGATGGCTGAAAAATGTACCTTGACAAGCCTGAATTCCCTCCGGACGTAATCTGGAAATCCAATCATGCGAGAGAAAACGGGATGAAACAGCCTCCCACCTCTCCCTGGATATTTCACCGGCAACATGTGAGTCATACAGGAAATGAGCTGAAGTGGTTTCTTCTTCACTACACATTTCACTATCTATACATGAGGAATAAAAATACCCAAATAGTACATACTTAATGACCGATATACTCAAAATAATATAAAATAAAACCCCTACCTTTATATGTTGTAATGCTTGATCACATTTATGAAAATATAGTAGTAAATATTATTATCAGTTTCAATTCAACGGATATAACGAAAGCACCACATTGACAGTTTACTGTGGGCTCAGTGTCCCTGGGGGGCAGCAGGAGAGACGGCGCTACACTTCAGAACGCCGCGTGCCAACAATGCAGAGCTGGTGTAGCTTGAGTTTCACGCTACATTATTTGAGTTGTGGGTTATTTTTGCTCGGGTGGTGGATTCTTTTTGGTGTGCGTGTTAACACATTGGAGAATATGTCTTAATATTGCGGGCCCGGTTTGGGAGGGCCAAGGAGCACACCCCCGTGTTCCCTAAACATCATCTGCATAATGAGAGCAGAGCTCGCTGAAGGCTTCAGGGAAGTTTCAGTGGGCTGCGTTTCAGCCTCAGGAAATGATGAGTCAAAAAGGACTTTTTTTTATTAATGTGCCATTAAAAATGGATTCAAGTTCATTACTTTCTTTGATAACTTACACCCACTTTGCCAGCAGAGAGAGAATTTAATTTCCTCCAAGAAGAGGCATTAGTGGGTCGATGTAATGAGCATTAGATCTGCTTTATCCAGTTATCCAATTAATAATAGAGTTAAGAATCCAAACAGTAAATGGAGCCGTAAAACACTCAGTTATTATGAAAGTTAGGCCTCATTTTGCAAAACTAATATTTTTGTGCATACGATTTAAAAAGTATGCAGGGATATGATTTACTTTGCAGGTTGTATACAATAAAGTGACGTAAGGTAATAGTATGAAACTGCTAAAACGAATCAAGCAAAAGAATTTAACTGACATATAATAAAATTAATATTATATTTATATCATATCTATATGTATTTGAATGTATACATTCTTTGCATCATAATAAATTATTTCTTGCCTTCAATCTATGACCATGTGCTGTTTTCCTTTAAATGGAGATGATGACAAGGACATATTGCATTTTAAGCCGGTTAACTCACCAGTAAAGTGAAAGGCTGAGAAAAACAAATCGCAAAAGAAATGACGTTTAGTCAAAACTAATCTCTTTGTGCTCGACCTATATAAAAAAGTTAAATTTCTATTATCTAGTCTTTATTTAACAAAACTGTAAAAAATAAAGCAATAACGATGTGAAGAAAATCGGGAAAACATGAAAAAAACATGAACACGAGGAAATAGCTGAATGTCTTGACACAGAGGACGAAGACAAACTGGAAAGCGAACGCTGGATTAAATACACTACGACGTGTGGCTCAGGCAGGAAGTCAAAAGGGCGGGAAAACACACAAAGGCAGTAAAGGAAGTTGCTGTACAGATAAGTAGCACACCACCAAACAGGAAATACAGAAAAGTCAGAATGATAAAGAAACACAATTTTGGGAACATACGGTACACTAGATAAAAAAGGAAACCAATGAAAGTGTATTGAATTTTAATTGAAAAAGATGGTATCTGTATGAACATTTTACCTTGGGTTTGTTAGCACTGGCACACAGTGCTTTAGCTAAGCTCCTTAAACTTCTCCTTATTTCTTACAGTCCTGGAAAATAGCAATCAGCCATATTTACGATGGATACCAGGAACTCATAGAGGACTTGCAGCACATTGGTTGAGCTCTGGCCCAGATCCATGCATTCTCCTCTTATTTTTCTTTGGCTCAAACCGGCAGGGGAGTGTTCACAGCGTAAGGGTTTGAGAGCTGGGTGGTGGAATAAAGACCCCATACTTAAAATAGCCATTTCCTTGGTCTTTCAAAGGCGGGGACAGAGCAGCGACAAACCCCCACAGATTGCTCTAGCTGAGATGTTTGCAGCCCGCGGCTCCCCTCTCTCGCTCTTATCCCGCTCAGGTACGACATCCGAGATGCTCTGATTCCATCTCAGGAAACCAGATTTCCGCAGATCAAAAGGATACTTACACATCAGGTACGATTTGGGCCGTCCGGAGGCTACAGCATGAAATAGGATTACAGTGTATCTACAAAACAAGGCTTTGTTCTCAACTATCCCAACTTTAAGGGAAAGAAAGTTTCACCGTATTGATCATTATAATAAATTCTCCCACACTAACATATGCAGGTTTATGATCGGTTCACATTTTGATTGATGGCTCTGCTTAAAAAGGCGTCATTGATGGATGCAGTCTGATCCCACACTGTGTGAAGAGAATTTTAACAACCCCCCAGAGGTCCGTTTAGATGCCTCAGTAACACTGTGGCTTTCTTTTCCTACCCGCTCATGCATTAACCAATTTAGGGGCCGTTGCTTTTTCCATTCTATTATTTAAATATTAAAAGAGTAAATGAATGAGTCTTGTTTCCTGATGCGCCGCTGCTGTCTTCATGGCTTGATTAGAATAATCTATCTTCATGGGTCAGGACACGTGCAGCCTCCCCCGCTGAAACATTGCCCTCGAAAATGTTTCTTTCGCATTCTACAAGAGGTGTGATTGTACGACTCTCGACTGCAGTATTTGATTTCACTAAAGCAAACAGTTACATTTCCCTGAGATGAAGGCCAAACTTAAATGACGCCATGAGACAGCATCTTAACCAGAAGACATATTTTAACTCCTGACGATTGTTTATACCACATTACACGGCATAGAAACATCTTTAACACACTGTAAACGTTTGTGTCATAATCTGTTTATGGCACTTTATAATTACTGTTACAACACATTATCATTGCTTTTATCGTTAACATGAGGTCAAGGATTGTAAAACCTAATTATTCGGTGGTATTTCAACAATGAACGTTATAATATACTATGATCCGTCAGTGGGTGACCACTAATCATAAAATCTTATGATCCTTAAAAGTCATTGTAAAATGTGTACTTGTGAGCAGATTGTGTCATAAGTACTAACACATTGTACGTATGTTCATAAAGACATGGTAATCACAGACAGTGCTTACCAAAAGCTTTAATTTGTGTTTAAATGTTTTGGGATTCATCTTGTTCATCCAGACTTGTTTTTGTGTCATTGGGCAACATTGAATAACAGTCTTCAACAAAGGTAGTTCTGATGCGAACCACGTTGCTTTTTAAAAAAATAGGTTGAACAGTAAGAAAGAAAAAAGGAAAACATAAATCAGTGAAGGAAGTTTTGTTCATCAATTTATTTAGCAGAGAAAATAAATTAAAATGTTGTTAAACAAGTCAAAATGTAGAATATGAAGTCAACATACTATTTCAAGAATAGGGTTTAAATGTTCAGAATAAAAGCTAAATACCAATCCAATTATGTCAAATTAAACAATTTAGTCCAATTAGCATTTTTAGGATAAAGTGGATATATATGGAGAATATACAAAGACCTTTTAAACGCTCCTAGTCTATGAGTGTTAGTCCCAGTGAATATTCAACGGTATTTCTGACATTTCAGCTGTATTCTCGAAATGCAAACAATAAAAACAGTCATTCCCGCTCAACTCTCCCTCTATGCCTCACCTTAATACTTTTCCATACTGCATCAACCTGGTGAGGGCAAAGGCAGTGCCACTCGCATTTTATGAAAATAAATGTGATTGTTTGATAAGTTGAGACTTGAAAATAAAAAAACATTAAAATGATCTTCTGTGTCCGTGTAGATGCAGACATTATTAGTTCTACCAGAGTCACAGACGTTAAGCTTGTTGAAGTTAATACCATTTGAACATAAAATAAAAGTCTGACCTGCGTCATTATTGCCATTCCCCCCTTTAAGACACAAGGGGACTCCACTGCAAGCATGTGTGCAATAACAGCTTAAAAGTTGAGTTGCACTGAGCGGTGCATACAAAATGTAAGGGCAAAGAGAATGATTGACAGTTAAAGCCCACAATGCTAAATACGGTACATATTTTCCCTTTAATTATAAATAAATATTATCTGTTTTATTCAACTAAAAAGATTGAAAAATGAATAGTTTTTCAATACATGCAATTTTAGAAAGGTTACCGTGTACCAGACCCACTTTAATGGCTCTCCAGTGGATAGAAAACACAGCGGCAGTGCAATGAAAAAGGTGAATGATTCAAGAGCAGAGAAACTCTTTTAAACTGTTTACCGACAGGCGAGAGATTGGATGCAATATTACAAAAAGATCTCTTTATTTTCCTCACGATGTAAGCGGCGGCTGAAATTGAGTGAAAGGTAGAAGAGAGACAAATCGAAAGAATGTGGAGGAGAGCAGAAGCAGCGCAGAGGCAGAAAAAAGAAGGGCAAGCTGATCACAGCTCGTCTGACATCAATCCAACTGTTGGTCTTCATCTCGGGCCCAGGCTCACTGGACACATATCTGATTCTTCAGGCTGAAACACAGACAGAGGAACGGGTCAGCTTCATCCGCAACACACTGCAAGTCACATATTCACAGTTAAATCCGAAATAATCGTAATATGGCTTTTTCACAAATGATATGTGATCAATATGCACCATTTGGACAACACACTGAATGATTTGTGAGACAGCAACAAATTGCGACGCATTCTTTTTTGTAAGTGTCGCTACAAATGTTGTATTGGACCAGCCTGAAATAAGTGTGGTTCTGGTTGTGGTCCCCCCCCCCTTTTAATTCCTCAGGATATTAGGAATTGGATGTTTACAGGCCAGGAAAGGAGGTCTCTACTCTCTACAGCGAGTGATTAAAACTTCCCAAGAGACCAACGGCACCAGTCTACCGAGCATCAGTGACAATGGTGACAAGAGGTGCCAGAGAAGAGAAGAGAAGAAGACAAGAAATGAAAGCCCACCAGCTACAAGCTGTGCAGCCTGCTACCTTCAGGAAAGAGACCCTGGTAAACAGCTGCTTGACATACAACAAGTACTTTGTTAGGTTCAGGCCAGTTATGTAGTTATATAGTCATGCACAGCGCCTCTAGTTTTATGAACAGCTGCCTCCCGAGGCACTTATTTTGAAAATTTGCTAATTACCCAAGAGCCAAAAAAGCCACAACAGCATCCGTCATTCCAGCCCAGCGGAGTTCTGTCTACGTTGTTCATTTTCTGACACAGCCATTAAAAATAGAAATGCTTCATAAAAAATACAATTATCTATAAAATGGGCCTGTTGGGCACCGCTGATGTACACAGTCTCATGAAGGCGTTCTCACAGCTCACACTTCTGCCCCCAGTTCATCCTCAGGGCCAAACAAGGGAAGGAGAAGGATGAAATAAATGTGAACGCGTCCAGCGGCGTATCTCAGGCTGTGTCCTCCTGCTCTGCCACGCTGTGGATGTACTGTACGTACGAGCGCTCTATGGCATCTGCAATGGAACTGTTCGCGGTGCTGAAGGCGCCAAAACCCTTTCTTCCCAACACGATGGAGGCAACATGACAGCGGCAGCGGGTACCAACCGTCAGGGATTCATGGCAGGCAACTTTCTGTTGTGGTCTGACGGGAACATGGTCTCCATCAGAGCGTCACACAGCCCCGGCTTACCGAAGCACTTAATAAACAGCCGTTACTCTGGGACAACAAACACAAGCGCGCCGCGGTGCAGCCGCTGCTTTGGCGATATCACGGCATCTCCAATGATGCAATGAAGACCATGCGAATGTGGGTGAGTGGAGAGCAAGTCGTCCTCCAATCAGAGGGTTGTCGGTTCGATCCCAGGCTCTGCTAACCCGCAGGTCGATGTGTCCTTGGGCAAGACACTTAACCCAACATTGCTCCTGTAGCTGCGACTACAGTGTGTGGATGTTAGTTACTGATGGCAGGTGTCACTGCGTGTGGTTCTCCTGTCATCAGTGTATGAATGGGTGTGAATGGGTGAATGATGTCATGCAGTGTTAAAGCGCTTTGAGTGGTTGGAAGACTAGAAAAGCGCTGTACAAGTACAGACCATTTACCATTTACCATCACGGCCGGATGGTGCAACCCTCCAACTGGTGGAGACGGGCCGAGGACGGAGTGCTCTGCTACCCAGAGATTCAGATCCCACGTCATTTCACAACGGTTAGCTGTCAATCATCTTCTATCAATTAGTCCATTGAAAAATGTTATATATATATAGTTCCTCAATTTTATGGATCCATATATCAACCTCCTGCCTTGTCTTTGGTTACATGGAGCTACTTGAAAGCCTGATGGTTGGCGACACACAGATGCAACCTGCGTACCCTGACAGCTTTGTCGGGGTCCAGCGCTGTGCTCCTCAGTGCATCTTATTACATAGTTGACATTACAACAACACGTAGTGTGTGTGTTTTTATCCCTTTGATGGTTTGACAGTCTGTGAGATATTGTCATCAACGGGGCTGAGATGCGGAAAAACATGATTTCCTCCGTGTCAGAACAGCTTCCAAAACTCTGTCAGGAGGATTGCAAAGTTTCCATACGGCTTCATTAACTTTATTTATCTTTTACAGCAGAATGTTGTTCAGAATGAAGTCAATAAAATTAGATTGAAATCATTTTTTTTAAAACAGTTTTTATATACAATGATACTGAAGGGAAATTAAGGATTTGGTTTGTTGATTTTCTACAGGTATATTTTTGAGTTTGGCTCCGAAAATCTAGTAGCTGAAGAACATTTAATATCAAGTCAGAGCACTGTGTATATATTTATATGTGATTGCATATTCTGCTGCAGTGCTCCTGTCACATTAAGCCTTTGAGTAAAATAAACATGACTTGTTATGTTGTAGCTGATTTGTCCTTGCGGGACAAACAGCAGGATGTCACTTTTACACAGCGTGCTGTGATTACTCTGCGTAGTTCACCGCAAAACAACGCTTCATTAAATCCCACAGCACTGACAGAAGGAGCCGCATTGATTATGTGATGTAAAAATAAAGCTACAAAAACAATGCTCACTGTCAGTCAGCCGGTTACGCCGCTGTACCACACGGCAGGTTTCTTCTTGGCGTATTTCTCTCCGTGCTATTAAAACACTGAAGCGCTGCTGATACTGTTTGTACTGTCGTGACACGCGCGGCCATTTGCTTATCTTGACACGGCCCTCGGGGCGCTGAGTCAATCAGCCCCCCTCGCCGAGTAGAGAGATGGGGGACGGCGATTGTGCGAAGATAAAGCGATGAGTGTTGGTCCATGCCGCCGAGCTCCACCGATAAAAGCTTCCACTCACCTATTTAATCAGAGAACAACGCGGATCAGATGGCAGCCTGTTGACATTCGGCGTCAGAAGAGATGAAGGGGGCTTTGTTGAGCATGTCAGACAAAACCCTCTTGAAGCAGCCGTTTGTCTTTTTCACACTGTAGCTGCAGATATTTTGTCGTGAAAGTTTTGGATCACCGCTGTGGTTTAACGTAGACAAAATCGTCCGCCTAGAATCGTCACAATCTCTTTTTTCCTTCCTCAATTGGTAGTTTTGGGGGGACAGTCAGGTGAAAAAGTGTGTTAGAGTGTATTCTCACAGCGCTGCCGTCCGCGTTGCACATAATGGTTCCCCCTAATCCGGCGTAATAGTGTTGAGGCGCACGGTTTCCATATGGGGCAATGCTTCATCCGCCGTCCAGCGGCCTCCACACTCGGGGAGGTTTCAGAGGCGTCGCGTCAATAGAAATGTACAAAAGGCCACAGAGGACGCCGGCATGCCCCTCCGTGGACGTCTGCCAGGGAAGCCGCGCTCTGGCTGCCAAGTGAGCCAGCGTGGTGAACCACAGAGAGTGAGACGGAAGCCTGCGAGATGATCAAACAGCCGCCGCGTAAGTCAAACCGCTATGTGGACGGGAGACAGTGCAGATACACTTGACATCATGTAAAGGTCCATGTCTCTTAACAGGTTCATTGGCTACAAAGACAAAACTGCTTTAATACCAAGCTGTTTGATAAACATGTTTATTTTGTCTGTAAAGTTGGTACATTGGGGTCAAAGGGGACTTGCACACTTTTATAGCAAGTGGCCGTCTGAAGACCTGCAGATTTTGGTACTTTGGGCTCATATCTGCTCGTTTGTCTTTTCTTATGAGAACCTTGAATTGACTCATCAGTCAAACGAGAGCATAGAGAAAAGAGTCTTTGGCCTTCTTGGATTAAGGGGCAGGTGGACTTTTGACTATCAGAAATCCTCGCTGCGGTTTGATTTATTCTATGTTGAAAAATCTGATCTCAGAAGTGCTTATTCTCTAACTAAGGGAAGGAAATGCCTTTAGAGAAGCATGTGGAAGGGACATGGCTTCATGTCTAGCCTTCTAATCCTGCTGCACACACACACACACACACACACACAGCTTCAGATTTTTAAGTCAAGAGTAACATTTTTCAAAGCTCCTGTATATCAAAGCGCTCAGCTTCCTCTCATAAGTAATTCACCGTGGGGTAAGTGTGGGTTACACGGCTGCACAACCTCCAACAGCCCAGACAAACCACACCACCTATTTGCATCAACTCCTTGAAAGTGGCGACTCTGCAGCTTATGCATTCCAGCAGCGTGTGACGAATTGTGTCAGCACATTACTGTAGTGAAGCATTTTTCATGCATAATTCATCCGCGAGCCTACATTCCACATGGACATTTCCAAATCCCTTTGAAGTTAATTCCCTCTTTGTGATAAAAAGCCTCGCTGGCGTCGGCTATGTTGCAGCTCCTGATTGACTGTCTAAATGAAGTCACCTGTCCAAATTAATTTTAATGTACAATTTTGCAGCGCTGGAGAGATTTTCATCTAATAATCGACTGTGTAAACAAGTAGAAAAAAAACAACACACACAATTTACCTGATGATGGTATAAGAAATAAAAAAGATGTCCAAAGCTATTTGATTCCTACAGAGTCCCACAACATTCATGTGGCCTTAAGATGCATCCTCTGGCAATCATGAATGTGTACACAAAGTGTCCTAAAATCGCACCTATAATTCCTAAATTATTTGGTGGACTAAGCCGGCCTTACGACGGAGCCACCGGGCGCCTTTGTTGCAATAGCATTCTCTTAAAACCTCTGCGGTGTCCATAGAGACGGTGAGAGGTGATTTACAACACTAACAGAACAAAGTGCATATGTAAATAACAGGGAAAAAAGGTTGCTCGTTGGCATCCAGCAATATACCTGCAGGCCTGCGGGGTAACATCACGAGGAGAAAGAGAAGAAAGCCAGTAAATTGACAGGCACTTGCCCTTCTTGGAGGTTGACAATTTTCTGCTCTGTAGCCAACTGGGACTTTTAAAAGCATGACAATCTCTCTTTGAGGCGTTGAATCCTTTTTCCCTTCATCCAAACCGATAACAATTGTCGGCCTCTGCGCTGCTTTCACGTGAAGTGGCTCCTACAAATCCCCCCGGTGGAGCAGCTAATGGGTGCCAGGTGTAAAATGGCCCGGCCATTCACGGTCTACTTTTGCAAATC